GTAAGCCAGCGTTGAACTATGTAGCGTAGACAACTCAAGTGGCAGGTGTAGGGAATAAATTGCCAATGGATGTGATCGCATTTGCTAAGTTTAAGTGGGTGGGGCTTTAGCGTGTCAGCTTGCACCAAGTCGTTTATGATGGGGATCTCTCCACGACTACAATCGCAGCAACGGTAGAGTAGAATCTGATGATGTAGAGTAGAAGCCATCGGTTGTCGCACGACGTACAATCACCAGTACAAGTCCTGTCATAAGTAGCAATTATTAGTGCATCCATTTATTTCTCCTTGTGCAGTGATCATGCTTGTGAACGGCCAGCCACACGACCGTTCCGGTACTACCACTACCTGTAGTAGTAGTAGCTGCTGTTGCTGTTGAAGGGTATTACCAGTAGTAGTAGTTTCTGTTGGAGGTTACGGAAACGGCTACTACCCAAATTACTACTCGTCAAATGACAACGGTTTTGGCTACTATCCCGACTACTACTCGTCACACGATGCTGGGAAGGAAAATGAGATGAATACTATCCGGATTATTACTCCTCCTACGGCTATCCCAGTAGCTGTACCAGTTGTGCTCATGGCCAGTGAATACGCTTTCTGGAGCGAAACACATTGCTGATCATTCCGCGGAGAAGTGAGGCCTTGCTTCGGACATGGAGCTGCCGATATTCTATTCCAAGACGAATGGTAACATGACCAATGGGACCCATGTCCACCCAATGAGATATTGGTTGTGATGAGGCAGACAGTTCAATGGAACTAGGCCGTGCCTACATCAATAGCCTTACGATCGATAGTGGTTTGCATTTACTCAATGGGAACAAAATCCACCGAACGTGTAACATGCACGGTGAACGAGGCCTATTTGGTGTTTTGTGGCGGAAAAGCTGAAGCACGCGTGGCGCACCTGGACCAATAAGGTTCTGAAGACTAACCAAGATCTCCCAGCTACCGAGGCAGAGCTGGATACGTATATAGGCATAGAAATGGCCACGAGCTTAGTGCCCATCATCAATATCAATGAGCTCTGGTGTTAAAACATAATTCAAGGCCACCACGTCATCAAGGCAGCGATTAGCAGAAATCTTTTCAAGCAATACGTGGGTCTTTTTAAGATTCATCCTCCTTTCGACGCTGACGAGCACATTTCCGAGTCTGAAGATGAACCAGATTCCGATCAACACGATTCCCAACCGGCCTCATCCTCAGTCATTAGCGCGGGACAAAGTGACAATATGGTCGAGCCAGGTAGCGAAGAAACCGGGTGTCTGGATGGTGCTATCAATAATGAGGTGCAACGGCTGGAAGGCCCTAGAGCGGAAGAAATGGCTAAGTGAGACCCCTTTCGCCATAGCCGGCCCTTATTGCAGCATATTCAGCGTAAATTTGTCTTGATAGCTGTGCCAAACGGAGTCAGTAGTTTTGACGGAAACGGCGTGCGGACTAAGGCGCGAACGCTGTCTATAGAATTTCATGCCGCTGAAACCAGACAAGTTCGCGGTAGGATTATATGTGTCTGTGGACCGGACATCGCTGTAAATTTATTCTCTTTGAGCCAACGGATCGACAATTCCTTACCGACAAGGGCAATTTCTGAACGACAACAGCATCTCAGCGATAAACAGAGTTATCCCTAATACCGAATAGCACCACTAGCGAATATCCATCGGCGAGATGGTGAACAGGCTGACACTACCGATGCTTCGTCATTGTGACTGGCCATGCTAGGTCACCAAACAATGTTGTTCCTGTCACTTCGTCGCTTGTTCGTGTGCGACAACATCTGCAAGCGCCATAGTTTCGGGAACCTTTCCTAGCGATGGCAGACGGAGAAGCTCGTATTGGTACTGCGCGTCCAGACTGGTTTGGGCATTCAAATGCGGCTGGAGTGCGTGACGCAATTGAACGCGTTACGTCTTGCGAGCGTGAATCATACGAATTGATAGCAGCTTTGGACAGTGTGGGCAATGCGAGTACCTCAAAGAAAGCAAAAGACCCTAATCACAGGCAGAAAAGCTACCAGCCCACCAAGAAGCCGTGTACGTCCCGCAAGTATTGTTTTCGCCATGTACAGGCTTTATTGTCCTCAAATACAAGAATCTTGTTGTTTTCTACACAAACGGCTTGTCCCAAACTCCGTTCGTGTGCTTGATTAAAACTGCGACGAGGTGGTGGCTTGCTGCCACGGAGTATTTCCTATTCGACGCTGGACTGGTTCTGAAGTGATGCATTGAACAGTGCTCAACGTTCCTGTCGTCATTGCGGCCAACAAACCTGTTAATGAATAGCGTCGATCGTGTTGACCAGCTTCGAGCGATCTACCCTACCAGACGAAATGAATATTGGTTGTCGATGCATATCTTCGCATGAGCCATATATTTGACTATAATAAATGTATTTGCGCTGACCAAGCAAATCGACACAAGCTCCGCTTCGCCTCAAACAATCCGAGAGCTTAAAAGGCGAGTCTGTGAGCAACTAACTTCAGGGAAGCGACTAGTGAAACTATTCAAGGAGATGCAGTCAAAATGCCGAAGAAGCGCGGAAAGGATCAATGATGACTCCGAGCTGCACATTCTTACGCCGAATAGCCGTGAGAGCGCAAGTGGCAAGTCGTTTTGCTGTTTTGTAATCTTCACGGAATTCAGTCGAAGTTGCGATATGGCTGCACGAAATGTCTTCGTGGCTACCATGTAGCCTGTTTCAACGTGGTTCATTATCGAGTGAATTTTATGCTTGTACGCCAAGTGTAACTAGTGTTCTGGATGCTATACGCAACACAACCAACAGACAAGCTCCTGCTAAACGCGACGACGATTGAATAACTCAATTACGTAGTTGGAAAGCTTGCAGGTTCCTCGGCAGCTGGGCCATTTAAGACTCCACTTTTACTGCACTACTCTTATTTCGCTATAAGCATACGTGTACGAGAGCTTTGGTCACCAATCCTGGCCTATTATCACGTAGATTGGGGTTTTCTGTGCTAGGTTCAACTGGATGATATGCTGTAGGCGTGGCTCACTATTGCTGGTATCGGGTTGGAGGTTTTTAATCTTTCTGGGCCTGCTGCACATATGGAATTGTACTTTCGAGTGATTTGCAAGCGGTAACAGTGTGTTGAGCTTAAATTTTAACCGAGCTGTTTGAGTGGAATCTCGCGCTGTCCAACACCTCCAATGTACACGGGTTCTAGGCTGCACGACCTGCTTTCGCGCACCTTACGTGTGTAGTTCAGCCGGGTTACTGCTAGTAAGCACACACTAACGTTGCGGCTGCGTTTGTACGAATTCGCGACTTCCTTTGGAAAGTGAAATGCAAACACATTGTGTTTAACAACGACTTTTAACGGTCAAATAATGCGAGGCCTACGAGAGGGATTGAATTTTTCTATGGCGTCAGAGCGAAGCACTCGGTGTAAACAATCGTTTGCAGCTGAGAGAGCAATATAGCTTGCATTGCCATCGAGCCGACCCTTACATTCGTTTCGTTAAAGTATCAGTAGTGATTTGCGCAACCTCTTCGAGAGTGAACGTGTTTCGTTCTCAACGCATCGCGAGCGACAACAGCGGAAGACGATGTCGGGCACTTTCGCTTTAGCGTACACGAATCAAAATTATCATCAAGGCGCTGCACATTAATACGAGAAGTAGACCCGTACCGGGTAGTCAGCAAGGTATGCTGTGATTCGCGCCTGCAACTGCTCGTTCGCGACTCGCTACAAATTATGGCGAATATCAATCGGGCTATCAGTCTCTGTAAAGTCAATCAGAAAGTCTTGAGCATAGCTAGTCTCTCGCGTCACGTAGCTCTCTTGACCAACAATGAAACGGATTTTACGAGCCCCCTCTTAGCGTAGTGACCAAACCCGTGGATGTTGTCGCAACTTTCTGGTGCAATGGCTACGCGGTTTTGCACTTGATGTAGGGGCGCTTCATGGAGACGCGTAAGCTGGCTTAGTCGAGACTCCAGATTGTTTAGCAGCAGCATTTTTATCGGTGGTGCGCGGTGACGAGGTTAGCCCGCTCTCGATGCTGGTTGTCGATAATTTTTGAATGGGTTGCGTCGTACAAACCTACGAGATTTTCAATTTGCTTATCCGTCGGTAATCTTTACAATTTCACGTTCTTGCTCCTTGCTTTCGCTGCGAAGCCGATCGTTCTCCTGTCGAAGGTTCATGATCGTGTCCATCATAGGAACTTTTGGAAGTGTGTGTGTTGCGTGGGGGGAGAGAGAACAAAGGAATAGAGCGAGAGTGATCAATGCTTGCTTTCCCCTCGAAACGAATAGCAAACTGAACCATTAATTATTTGGGCAACATTATACTAAACTTTACCTTTTTTCAAATGAATTACCGTTCGTACAACTTCGTGCTCTTTTCGTGCAACCTATAGCCGTTACGATTACTTCAACACACAACATTACAGTAATGTATCTGAATTGACACGTATCCACTGTTTCGTATGCCACAGCACTTGTGGTTTACTTGCTATTTGAAAATTCTCCTGTCCTAGAGCAATTACTAAACGATAAGGAGCTGCTAACACAACGTATGGCTGAGCTCGGAAGAAAGTCAAACTCTCGCGGTATATTTAGTAGAATTGGAGACTTTTTGTCGTCTCTATCTGAGCATCCCGCGTCTTCAAGTGATCGATCCACACAACAGCTCGAAGCTGGTCATTCTCTTCTTGGGGCTAACATCGACGCTGGTAGTGATGCACCGGAAGCAGATTCTGTTAGCAACAAGGAAACACCATCGACAACAAGATCCAGATTGGAAATGTAGCGTCCATCAGCGGTAGCAAAAAAAAACGCCACAGCTTCTGTCGAATTCGTCGATCATCATTTTAGCTTTATAAAAATATTTAAAATTATTGTTTTTTCATTTTTTTCTTACCTACATATTTTTAAAAAACTTCTTTTGTGTATTTTACACAACATAGTCCAGAATTTAAAATTACTAAATCCCGCCACTAACGACTAGGAGAGGCATCTTCGGCCATGAGCGAGGGACGTCTGCAGCACCTGCTGCAGCCCATTCGGTAGGTTCTCCTACGCCTCGACGTCTTCTCTTTCCTCTTCTCACCCTTGTGTCTCTCCAGGGACCTGAGCAAGAACTGGAACATCGATTTGGCCTCGGAACTTGAGGAATACATGGACAAACTCGAGAATCTCAACATAGCGTTCGACCCCGAGGACGGCGCCAGCATCGCGAGCGGGGAAGGACCTGGCGTCATGAATTTCGCCGAGGCAGCGTTATTAATCCAGGGCACGAGCGTCATTTACAGTCGCAAAGTCGAGTATTTACATGCTTTAGTGTACCAAACACTAGCGCATTTGTCCAAACAGGACGATAGGCAACAGAATCAAGCTAATGGAGACACAGGCGAGGCACAGAACGACGAAGACGACGATGATGCAGACGTCAGTGTGTTTAACAACCCCTTGCCGCTCTATGACAAGTTGGAGGAAGCCAAGTCGACACATATCACTCTTAAGAGGTCGAAACAGGAGGACGAAGAGACGGAAAGTGATAGAAGAAGGAAGAGGAAAGAGGCCAAAGCATTAAACCGAAGCAAGAACAACATACAGGCATCTATAGCGCTCATGGGGTCGCTCGTACCCGACGAGAGAGACCATGGAGAGACGTTTAAGTTGCTGTCGTGCAACTTACACGCTAGTGGTGTGTTGCTGCTGGACGAAGCAAGTAAAAAGTACTTGAAACCCGCGCAACAGACTGCTGGAGCCCAGTCTCTTGCGTTTGGCGAGACGCCAGGAAGACATGGAGGCATGTGGGTCGCTGCGGATGGCGAGAATCCAGCCACAGCGTTGAATTTCGACGATATGGACGATGACGGACATGATAACGACTATGACGACCAGCCAGACTTTGAATATGACGCTGGAGAGCCCGCACAAGACGTTCAGATGGACGAAACAGTAGAAAATACACTGCAACAGGAGCCATCTACTGCGTCTCATCCTGCAACAAGCACGGCGACTGTGTTGCCTTTGACTGAGAAGGATCCTTGGACGCCTCTGGACGCGTATGACGCCAGTTCATCAGTCGCTCGACCATTCAAGAAAGGCCGATCGTACCCTCGTGTACCAGCTTATAAGAAGAAGAAGCGCGGCTCGGTCGCTCTTAGCAATAAGGAAGGCGCCGTGGGGATGGAGGACGAAGCCGAGCAGGATGGGCTGTCGGATCCTGCGTTCCAAGATCGCTTTTTTATGAACGCGAATGGACCGCAATGGGCGTCGTGGGTTTGGACGGAAACTTCAAGGGAAAACCCACTTGAGAAGACTTGCAAACGCAATTTTTGCAAAACTCCGTTGCTAGTGAAAACATGCGACATGTTGTGGCAACGGGAGGCGAAATGGCGAAGTATGATGCGGCGTTGTGAAGCGCGTGAGAAACAGAGTGCCCAGGCTATGTTGCTACGTGAACAAGCCATGGAGGAAGAGGAAGTAGACGGACAAGACCAAATGCAGGCTTTGACATTGTCAACAGCAACTGCCAGACTGGATATGGCGTTCCGAAACGATGGCGGCAATGACGACGATAGCAATGGAGAAGTCGACTATGACGACGGCTTTGAGGGCGGAGAGTGGGACCAGGGCAACGACGTGGATGACCTGATGGGTACATGCGAAGCTGCCAGTGTGGATAATTCGGGTGGTCCACTTACATACGAGGAAATCTGTCGACAGCACTTGGCGACTTTTATGTCGGGCACGGAGAAATATGTCCGTGAAACTGATCTGAGTAAAAAGGTCAGTGATTGGCAAGACAAACTGTCGCCACTGTTGAAGCAACAGGACACACGTCCTCCGTTTGATATTCACCTTTATGGTAGAGAAATCATTGGTCGATTGGAGGAGGAACAGAAGAATAGTAGTCTGGCTAGACACAGCAAGACTACGCAAAGAGACAAGAACAAACGCATACGATTGGCAACTGACGACGAGGAGAGCGAGACGGTGCCGTTTGAGACACTGGTGGATGGCAAGAGCCAATTCGAAGTGTGTCGACTCTTTCTGGCGTCGTTGCAACTGGCAAATAGTGGAAATGTGGCGCTTTTTCATGCTCGCACTGCGGCAGAGCACGGACAAGTGCCCTTTAAGATGGAGTTGCTCAGCACTGCCAACGCGTACGAAGCACTTCAAGCGTAACACAGTTCTCAAGTATACTTAAAGTTAGCACTTCTTGCAACTTTTTTTGTCTGAGTTGCAACTATGGCAATAATCTAATATTGTTTTTGCTGTTGCTTATTTGCCATAAATTATTCATGCTTTCTTAACTCAAGCTGTTAGCGGCGCGAAGACGCCTTCAGTCAGACTGAAATGGTCGCGAAGAATGGGTAGAGCGTCCTCCCATTCGTCCTCTTTGATCAACATGAAGTCCTACCAGAAACAAGAGTTCTTAGTAATTATTTGCAGGTATTCGGCAATCAAGAGATGTTACCGTCGCGTAGGTACTAAGATAAAACACCGTAGTTCCGGCATTTACTAGTACTCGGGTCTGACCCGCCACAATTCCTGTCTCTGCGAACCCTAGCTTCGAGTTGCCAATTTGCACAGGTCTCCAGAAGTCGGGTGATACAAGCACGCCCTGATCTCCCTGTTTCATCAGCGATCGAGCCTTCTCTAGAAAACATTCGTCGCTTGTTACCACCGAGATATCGTCTCCAGTCTCCGAGTAGCTCAGGAACCTCGTTTCTTCGTCCTCCTGCGACTTAAACAGCAACTTCACGAGCGAATACATGTGCCTCCTCACAAATGTTTTGTTGAGTTGCACAAGGTGCAACTTTACATCCGGAACACTCAGAGGGTGTTGATGCATCGTTGGCAGCTTTTTCACCTTTGTGATTTCCTCTGGAGGATCGACGCCTACGTCTTCTGACACTGTGAGCTCTTGCCCATCCTCCATTTCAATGCAACAGAAGCTTTGCAGACATGCAATTGCCGTTTCCAAGTCTTCCACTTTCACCAGCACTGCAACAATTTGTCAGCTTTTGCCACTTTGCCATTGTATAGTTTACAGACTCACCATAGTCGGATTGGTACGTCGAGATCTGGAAAACACTGACCCCATGCTTGGCCAGTTCTGTTGTGAGCTGTGTGAGCACCGCCAATTGGCTCAGGAAAGCTCCCGGACCGGCCGATGCCACTTGTAGTGCCTTCCATCGCAGTGGCTCAAATTCTAGTACTCCGTTTGCAAATTTATCCAGGAGCCGCTCTTCGAATACAATAGACACCTCGTGCTGCGTCTCCACATAGCTCAAGAAGCGGAGGTTATTGCCGGCGTTGGACGATGGCGTGTAGAAGAGGAGTTCTAGTAGGGATGGCACCAAGGTTAAGGAGTGTAGGTCGTTGTGTATTGAAGTTGCATCCCGAGTGATGGTCTTTTCCGTACTCGAGATTACCAGCGTCGTCGACAAACACACCAGCTGCACTTCCGCCGACGTCGCCGCCATTTGGATTTTCAATGAGCAAGGGAAAGGTTTTTTATATAGATCTTCAGTCGGATTAAGATGTTGGTCAAGAAGAATCTCTGCACTTATTTATCGCTATTCACCTTGATTTACACTGAGCTTATATTTCGTCTAAAACCATAAATTTGCTTGCAAACTATGAATAAGGGATTCGCTTACGTTTTTTAATCCGAAAATATCTAGCAATTAGTACCTTCACTCACCCTTATTTACTTCCGCAACATAAACAGCTGGCAAATATCTTGGACGGAAACCACTCGCAACACCGAAGGAAACCATGGACATGGTGCCGCGCCTACTGGACTACATCGGGAGCTACCCACGCCTCGAAGACGAGAAGGAGCTCAGATACCAGCTGAGCGGCTTCACCCACAAGGATCTGCGCGCAGCCTGCAGCCTGTTAAACCTCCCAATCTCCAGGAAGAACAACAAAAAAGGCGGCTATATCGCCACCCTCGTCGCATACTGGAAGGGCGATTCCGCCCCTCTCGCCTCTAACTCGGCGGCAAGTCCAGTCCAATCGTTTGCTCCAATGACGCAGCCCATGGCGAACTTGCCACACCACCCGATGCCCATGCACGAGGCCAGCGACGTCACTCAATACGTGCAACAGTTTCCACCCCAAGGGGACGAACAGGAGTTGCGCGACCAATTGAATGGCTGCAAGGCGGTCATCTTACGCTCCGCCTGTGTGCTACTGGAGTTGCGTCCGAACCGCAAAAACTTTGCCAAACCGAACTATATCACTCTTCTAGTTGATTACTGGAAGGACAGTGTGGCAATTTCTTCTGATGCCACTGCCACGCCCCGAGCGGTTCACTTCCACGAGCCGAATGTGACACCACGGAACGAAGTGGATGCAGGGAACCAGAAACGAACGAGAGACGAGGCGAAGACGGCCACGAAGAAGAAAGCCAAAGTGATGGAGCGCAGTGGCGACATCTTTGAAGAGAAAGTGGGGGCGATGGCGGCGTCGCTGGAGAAGGCCCAGGTGGTCAAGGAGTGGGCCTCAGCCATCGAGATCCTCTCGCGTGTGGACGGCAGCGCCGAGAGCATCGCGTCCATCCGAGCTCTCATTGACGGCGTGGTGGTGAGTGCGGCAACCGACCTGTAATTCAGGAAATGGTATTTTTTTCTTTTCGATTTAACGTTTAGGTAAATTTTTTGCGAATTGAGGTGCTTTTTATTTGAATTACCACATTTGCTTCTAATGCTACCGGTAGCTTTTTTTCGTAAGTACCTTGCCGTTGTCTAGATGTCTTCAGTATTCATTGCGCTCTCTAACGGTATTAAACAAATTCAAGCTATAAAAAATAAAAGTAACTCTGCTAGGCTGGTCGAGGAAAGCTGGACAGAAGCTCTTCTGTTGGTATGATGCTCCACCCAGGACCATTAGACGAGAATCTTCTCGAAAAGAATTCCATAGCTTTGAGCAATATTCATTATCCCGGTAGACACCCCGTCATCGAAGCATGGACAAAATAATTCGAGTGGTGCTACCTCAGTGGGGCCGGAGCAAATGTGGCGAATTGAAGTGACTGTCCTACTCACATTAGCGAAGTAAAGAAGATTTTGCATTTTTCCCCTTTACAACTCACGGAATCTTTTATTTTCCAGATCACCACATTGACAAACTCACTTTATTCGATGACCGACGGAAGTTGAAGTTTTTTTTTACCGGTGTAGTATCGCTTGCAAAGTTTCCAATAGCCACTTCAAATCATGCCCGGCAAGGCTCAGCCCAAGAAGAAGAGAAAGGTGTGGATGCGATGGATGGACGAGCGGACTCACGGCACATTCAATGTCATTGGCGTTAATCTAGTCACCTTACCTGACGACACCGAAGTCCTAGCAGACGTCGCAGATGCAGCACATACTCTGTAGGACGAGAACCGACCAGAGGGAAAGAACCTGTTCGCGGATGTGCTACATGTAGCGTTGCAGCTCTCGGTGCTCAAGGACGACGAGGTCTATTCTACAGGCAGATATCCCCTTGGCGTATTGGGGTGTATGGTGAACTCACGGAGAAGCCTCTGGTATGCTGATCGAATATTCCCGAGGAATTGCTGCATGAAGTGGGGTCCCTACCGACTTTATGAATCTTCGAACCGTATTGCACATTCAGTATTATTGGTATCGGTCAAATTAGCGCAAGCGGAAGCATACTTGTACGTATACAGCCTCGTAGCAACAACAATTCTTCCGTAGAAGAGTGGCGGCGAATTATAATATGCTAAAGCTCATTCAAAAATTGCCGAGATCCTGAGAGAAATACGTCCGTCTACCTTGGCCAAGTTGTGATTGGCGCTGGTGACATCATCGACTACAGAAACACAAGATGTCATCATTCGTGCACGCAACTTGTCCCCCTTCCCCCTCTCCCCTAGATAACCTCCCGCTCGTGCGCCTCTAGCATAGTCCCAACAACTTTGTCATCCAAGACTACATCGTCGTCCTCCCTAGCTAAACTAATTACCCAAAGCAAAATCTGTTTCAAGAGCTGCGAACCCCGCGGACTACTCGTTCCGGACTCCCCCAATTATAAACAAAGGTGAATGGGGGGATTACATTCTGGGGATTGTGGAGTTTCTGTATATCGCATGAAAAAGTCAAACAGTGCGAGCGTAATGGTCTCTCAAGAAAAAGCGAGGGTACTGCTTCGAAACCTTTTAATATCTTTCCTTTTTTACTAATGCACCGGTCGAGTGCGTCCCCGTGATTATCCTGTCAGCAAAAGACATCAGTTTTGTAAAAATAAAAGAAATCTAGATACGTTGCTGATCAATATGCCACCGTCAACGTAGTATTTCTCAGTGACGAATGCAAGCCCCAGTACTTACGTACTCCACTAGCAATAACAGAATGTGCGATACCGATTACTATCCCAGCTTGGACACCTTAATCATTTTCATTACATTATTGTGATCACAGATCTCGACAATCTTGATGACCTTCCAGCAACACCAGCAAAAGTAGGGCACCCAGATGTACAAATTGAATTCATTAATCCACGGTTGCTTCACTGACTCACTTGATTCGGTGAATCACGTTACTGCAGTCGCATCCACACTACACTTTCCCATCAAAGAGCTGTTCACAGATAACTCTTCGCACAGATTTGTCGTCTCTTGCTGCTTTTTTAATCACACAAGAGGCAAGTTTCCGTCTTTGCTCAGCCCCGTTTATTTAAGCGCAGTGTCGCATTGTACGTGGTGTTTAACACACAAGTACTTCACAAGATACTGGCCCCGTTTAGCTTCTGTGTCAAACTGGAACCTGGAACAAAAGTTCCAAGCCTCCATGGTTAGCATCCATTTGACTGGATCCTTTGCTCGACGACTGGTCAGTTTGGATATAGAGTCTCGAAGGCACAGAGGCGCGCAGTCCAACACCACTTGGACCAGCCCGGCTCCCTTACACTGCGAGTTCTGCGCCGCTCTCTCCACCTCCCGTCTTGCCCGAGTCTACGGCAGGTGCGTAGCAGCTCTACAATGATCAGTACGTCGTTCTAACCTTTTGTATGGCGTTTTTGGTGCTATGAACAGTGAAAACCCGTGCTGCTTTGGTCGGCATTGCCTACATAGGTGAGCTGCTGTTGCTGACAGCTATCTAAACACCGTACCAACACTTTGCACACGACGCGGTTACCTTATTTCGCAGTGGAGAGCAGTATTATGGATCCTGTTTCGTGCTTGGCAGCTGTTGTGGTGTTGGAGATGATGAGAGCACCAGATCCTTCTACTTCTAGAGCGGTGAACCTGCTCGTACAGCAGCATGAGATGGAGGTGGACGTAGTTAGCGGGCTCTTTCGTCCACGAGATCGAGAATGGATTGCAAAGGAACGAAGTAGTCATTGGTCTCAGATGCTCTTCTCATCAAGAGTGTATTTCGACTCTAGCATGAAGGACCTATTTCGCATGGATAGCAACAGTATTGCTAGCCTCTTTAGGACCATTTGCGCTGGGCTAGTGCCGTTGCGAAAGACACCCGATGCCGTTGTGCCGCCAAAGCGTCTTGCGGTGTTTCTATACCTGTGCGCACACGGCTCATCAACTCGCGTCACGGCAGATCGCTTTGCCATCGGCCCAGCTACGGTGGCCGGCATCGTAAAAGAAGTGGCAGCTGTTGTGTGTAGTTTGATGGGAGAACTGGTGGCATTTCCACCGTTTCGACTTTGCGCCTCCCATTTCGCTAGCGAGTGCGGCATTCCTCAGATCGTAGGGTGCATTGATGGATCTCACATACCAATTGCAAGGCCAGAGATAAATGGGTCGATGTACTACAACAGAAAGTGTTGGTATAGCGTTGTTCTACAAGCTGTGGTTGACTGGCGAGGTAGATTTTGCGATCTCGACTGCAAATGGCCTGGACGTGTCGGAGATAGTCGCGTATTTCGCAACAGTGCTCTTGCTCACTCATTTCCAGCGATCTCAGCAGCATCAGAGACTATCACACTTCCCACGGGAGTGGACACTTATGCTCGTATCCCGTATTTTCTACTTGGTGATTCAGGCTATCAGAACACGAATTATCTAGTGACTACCTTTGAAATTGCTGAGACTGAAGCAGACGAAATCATAGCAAAGATGAACAAGAAACTGAGCCACGCTCGTTATCGCGTAGAGTGCGCGTTCGGCAAGCTCAAATGTCGCTGGCGTATTTTGCTGAAAGGAATTGATCAGGACGTGCTTGATGCTCCCGACATCGTGTTTTCGCTTTGCATCATCCAAAACTTTCTCAAAGACAACAATGATTCATACCTTATTTAGAAGATGACTGGCGCCAGATCGTACGGAAGTATGAAGCTCGATTTCCTCAACCCGTTGAAGTGAGTGGGGATGCATCTAGCGAAAGTACACGAGATGAGCTGAAACGATGGTTTGCATTCAAATTACGATAAATATCCTAGTAAGAAATGTAAAGTTTAGCCTAGAATCACTGAGCGCTGTTGTTCTTCGTCAGAACACTCACGAGAGCTCCCAATAGCTCCATGTGCTGGGAGTGCTGCTGTCGGCGTTCTTTCATTTCTTCTTCCTGCAGTTTCTGGGTACGTTCAAACAGCTCTGCTGATCGTTCCTGGAGAATCTCCCGCATCTCATCATACTTGTTGCTGCGTTTCCTCTTGTTGTTTCGTTTTCCTGTGTTGTACGGGTCCTTATTTTCATCAGCACAGTCCGTGCGCGCGGAACACCAAAAATACTGCTAGTGTCGTCACTAGTAGCACTGTTCGTGATATCTTCTTTGTTGTAGCGGGTTATAGCGGCGTAAGTAGACTCTAGCGGCTCAGTGTCGACCTG